AAAATATTTGGGATCAAAAATTCAAGACTGTATGACTCGGTCCCATCTCCCTCACTCCGTAGAACAATCACTGATTTCAGCCTACCGAACCCTGAGTATTTTCCAAAGTAAACCTTTGCTCAATCCAAAACGCATGTCTCCATTCGAGGCTGCTCAAATTTCCTACTGAAATTAGAAACCACTTTTTAGGTTGCGCATTTGTTTTATCTCGATAAGCATTGAGTGAAATATTCTTTTAACTGATATCAATAGTCGAAATGACGAGTACCATCTTAGATGAGTAATTACGAGAGAAAACTCATGCACAAGTCATTAGGATTGCACCGTCACAAAAAATTGGTAATCTACTGTTTCGAATTGCCAGAAAAAGTGACCATTGTAGTTAGATATCAAATGCGTTTTTAATGCTTGGGGGATATGAAGCCATACCCGCTCTCTATGGTAAGTAAGCCTAAGTGGATAAATTTCTCCACTACTTGACGTTCTGTTTAAAATGTAAATTTGGGTTTGAATTGGTTTATTAATGCTTATAACGGATTACTTATTTTTGCTAAAGTTTTGCACAATTAACCTGATTTTTTGTGCTTGACATATTCAACATCCCGTATAGAACTAAAAACGTGAATTTCCACGAGCAGCTTCATACTCATGTAAGAGGTAAAACAGGTTCTTTCCAGGGGACGCTATGTAACTTACGATGATCGAAACCAAATATACTTTTCTCAAAATCGAAGTTTCGCTCCCATGAAAAACACTCCTTTCAAATCGTAAAAAGCATCTCCCCTATAAGTTATACAAACGAACTAAAGCTACCCTGAAATCTCCAGACTGTTTTCTTTTCACAAAAGCCTGATATAGGAAAAAGGAAAAATGGTTTCACTTCCAAAATGCTTTTTTTTGCAAAAAATCAGCCCAAAAATGCTACAATTGTATAGTGTTTTGTGGTCATCTGTATTGCATTTTGATTGATGGCCAGTCCCAGACAGGAATGTCTCAGGCGGTGGCAACGCGTGATTTCAGACCAAAGCATGACTGGCAGTGGGAAGCTTGTAATATTTTACCGGTCACGATATGCTGGGTATGTCCTAGAAAATAACATTTCCACTGTAGGGATGGCAGTTCATTTACAAAGCCTTCCTACGTATTCCCATTTTGAGTGGACAAACTAAGTGATTGAAATTAACTTTCTTTAAAAATTTGCTGTCGTGACATAATGCTTTAGAAACACTTTCCTCCACCAGTAGTTGAATTTTCCAGGCAACCCTTCTGAACAAGGAAATTTCCACTTGCCTCCGATACAATAATATAATTGAAACAAGTTGAAACCTTTTAAGTGTTTTGTAATAGAGTGTGATAACTAACCTTATTCCGAAATACTAAAGCAAAAACTTACAAAGCACAAGACAGACGGACAAATCAGAAGGCAAAATTTGTTGTAACTGTCTGTGGTACTAACTGTTAGTGATTCTACAAGGGATATTTTTGCGACTCCCAAGCACCATACTGTTGGGAGAACTCGGCCTTGTTGGTGGCCACTGCAGGACAAGGAGTTCAAATGTGTTCGACTTCTTTGGTGAAGTTCTGTGTAATCTTATTTTAGTAATGATTCCAAAGTTTGAAGAAATATGTAGCATCAAGTTGGTTGCTATGCTACCCAAAAGAAGCACGAGCGTTGAAATACTGTCAGGTCGCCCAAGCCTAGACGGATGCAGTCGCGATGAAGAAGTTTGGTGCGAAACAGTAAGCTCACGCCAACAACTAACCTACGTGTAGCTAGAAGTTAAACGAGATGAAGTCCAAACGGTTTATACTAAATAGGGTATGACGCTATGAAATATGAAGGTACGTTTTCGATAATACAATCGGGTCAGAAGTTATCGTTGTACTGAGCCTCAGTAATTCCTCATTAGCTTAATGGACCAAAAGATAAACTCAGGAACTTATAGATCACGTTGGAAAGTGTGCCGAACGCTGTGGTTATTTCGTAAATCAACCTTTGCTTCAGACTGCTTACCTAATCACATCAAGGAGGGACTGATTGCAGAAAAAAGACATCCTAATAGCATACGTAGTCAGGATTTCCGGTAGGCGGTATTTTTAACTGAGTAGTACACGTCGGTGTCTAAAGTTTAATCAATAGCCAGGTTAAATTGTCGTTGTTTCGAGTAGTAAGGAGCCACAGATATAACTATTTTATTTGTTACATAACGAAACCGGCCACACGAAAATGGGCCATGTGCCGACATACAAAACTTGAGATAACAACGTACATTTTATAGACTTATTTCATCACTCGTTGGGTTGTTGAAAACTCCTTGAGGTCTCACCACTAGTCTCGCTGCTACTGTAGCTCAGGGGCAAATACCTACCTAGAAGAAAAACAAGTTCCTTCTCGCTAACCAGATTTGAGCGCACCCATTCTACAGATGTCACCACTTAGCAGGTAAGCCTACTTCCCCGCTTCATTGCATCTTGGTTAAATTAGTGTCGTGCACATACATAAGTTTGAATGAGGAATATTTTTCGGGAAAATACCCAACCAAATTCCGGAAACGATAATTTGAGTGCCTCAACTCATTAATCAAATTACACAAGCTCTTTAATTGTATTAATCAATACTCAACTCGTTTGAAAAATTCTCTTCTCTGTCTGTCTAGCGTTGATTTCCAAGTTGGGTGACGTACTTCCCCAAAATCAGAATGAATTCACTTCCAGACATTTTAATGAAATATTGGTGTGTTGGACTTAAGTAACATCGAACAACCGTAATTACTATTTTTCATGGTGAAAGCATATTTGGAAAAAATTTTTACCCCCTCATACAAAAACTTGTAGCGTATTTCCGCATTCTTCGACTATCCACCTAATTTGGCAGATCCGACACGCTTCTGGAGTACACCTTTCTTTTCGTTTTTATTGCAATGTGGAGTAGACGCTCATTGCTGTTTATCGCTCGTGCTGAAAATTATTGAAGAATTTTCATTTAGCCATTGTGATTACAAAAATAGCCGTATTGACAAGACCCCTGTGGGAGCTTGTTGGACTCTGAATTTTCTTTGAATATTGCTTCTTTCCTCTTGCGTATAATGAATTACTTTGGAAACGCGAGAATCGACAAACTCTTTATTTTAATGTTTAACAATAGGAACGGATATTTGTGAGCAGTGTATGCAAATGCCAGCTGTTGAACAGACAGTAGGTGATTCGTTCATTGGGTTTTCAGCTGGTCTGCAAATGTTTCGTGACCACTCGAGAAAACATCGTTGTTGCGTGCACCGGAAACCTATTGCATCACAGGCTGCAAGACATGATGACAGATATTTCTCCCACTACTCATCAGTAACTAGAACATGTCATAAAATACGACGGGCATGGCAGATTTCTTTGTTTCAGTGTTGCCGTTTCGGCTGGTTGTGGAGTGCAGCACAGGTGCTCTTCGAAAACGGCCTTTCTGTCAGACAAAGCATTCTGGTTTCAGAAAACAGGTCCTTCAGCCTAGTTATAATCTGAATCGAGTGTGAGACCAGGTAGATGATCGATCGGGCGTCAGTAACACATGAAACATTCTACAATCAATGGTGCGTCCAAGTGAATTTAGCCTTTAGCCTTGAATTATATGACCACAGAAAGATAATTTAAGTTGTCCTGTTTCAGCCGTCCCTTGGAGAATCAGAGAAGATATCAGTTTCGTTGGATTTCTGGGGCGCTAGGTTTTAAAATTTCCGGCCGCCATATTCCTGAATGTTTGAGTTTTTGTTCAACTAACTGGTTAGAATAAAAGGTGATGAAATTGTTATATGCTATTTTAAGTGAGAATGCAGCACGAAAACATGAAAAAGGTACCAGACAGTTAGACAGCTTGAAATGCCTATTAATACCACCTGTTTGACCTGGCTAAAATGTTTTTTTTCATCCAAAGAACCCCACAAAACTGTCGACGATGGAGCAAGTGAAGACACCTGTATCATCTTTCTAGTATTCAGTCTATCACTATGGTGGCATAATGAAATCCTTGATGCAGAACCCCACAAAACTGTCGACGATGGAGCTAGTGAAGACACCTGTATCATTTTTCTAATATTCAGTCTATCACTGGGGTGGCATAATGAAATCCTTGATGTATGAGCGTAAAACTGCGAAGGCCAAGTTCCAAACGTGAACTAATACTGATTTTTTACTTCGATCATATGTTGGGATTTTGACATAGTGAAACTTCATGAAGTGGAGCCCTTTTGAAGGTAAACTAGTAAGCATGTATCAGCTGGATCAATGTACAAAAACTACTGAACGAGATTTGTGGGCGATTGTAGGATCACGATCCAAGGACTAACAAGCTATTTTCGCCCGAACAAAAGCTTCTAACAACTAATAGGATCGGCAGATATATTTCCTCCAGCCGTTCGGGGCGCTCACCGATAAATTGTTACAATCCTTTCAAGAAAGTTTCATACATCAAGACGCAGAATCGTTGAAAGAATACGACTTATTTATTTTAATTTTTATGTTTTTAATACGCCATTCACTGGAACTTAAAGTTGTTGTGGGTCACCGATCAATCAAACTGTGGCACTTGAATCCACAGATTGCTTATCTGCTAAAGAGAAAACGAAAAATCGTTGGAGGAATTACCCCATCCTTCTAGCGCTGGCGCGCACCAAGTCACACGATGGCCCTTCCGTGGCCCATCAAGTTTCAGGTCAAGCAACACTCTTCTTCCATGTTTGGTTTTCCTTAATGCCTCAATGAGCGGCCAATAAGTCACTAGTATATAAATAGCTTTGATTAGGTAATTCTCAGGGGGAAATTGTTTTAGTGTCAGTCCATCTTATCGTTAAAACACTAAGACTAGGTAAACCAGTTCCCATAATAATTTCAAGTATTTATGGCGCGAGGTCATGTGCAGCTCACACAATGATGTAACTATAGATTTCTGATATAATGTACGTGTGAAACTTGTTTCCAGACCTATTTTACTAAATGTTCTCTTCCATTCTCTTTAGTGCATCGCCCTGTTGTCCGTCACCTGCATCATACTCTCAATAATTGCTTACTGTCTGGACACCTCACCAACATTGCTGACTCCTTCATTGTATTCAGTCAACAGTCGTGGATCAAATGAATCCTTCTCCATCCGCAATGCGTCTTCCTTCATGAACTTTCATACTTTTCCGACGTACAACAAAACTGACGATACAAAGAGGTTAGACACCGCATACACATTTTATCGCGTGAGCAGACCTCAGAAAAATGTGGCCTTTATCTATATTGAATGTATTTGCAATTTGTGGTTCACAGTGGAACTGCTCATCCGGTTCGCAGTGACCATGGATCAATGCGCGTTCATCAAAGATCCGATTAACTTGGTTGACATCGCTGCACTTTTGAGTTTCTATACTGAAACCTGCTTGTACACTTTCAACGACAAGACGATGCCTTCCTCACCGGTTGTGGACATTTTCAGTATTCTGCGCGTTATGCGATTGTTCAAACTTACCAGGCATATTTCTGGGTTGAAAATTCTCATTTTGACCTTTAAAGCTAGCGCAAAAGAGTTCTCCCTCCTGGTATTTTTTCTTGGTGTATTTATTGTTCTATTTGCTGCCCTGATTTACTATGCGGAACGCCTGAGTACCAATCCAGAAAACGATTTCACATCTATACCAATCGGATTGTGGTGGGCTATTGCTACCATGACGACGGTGGGATACGGTGACATGGTGCCCAAATCGTACGCAGGTAAGTTTGTGCTTTGTAGAATCCGTGCCTTTTAGTTATTGCTGTCGAAGATGTCATTAAATTTTGCTTGGAAGGTTCGTAAGCAAGCATAATTATCTCGTCATTGATTGGTTGTCGCGCAGTTTATTTTTCTCCATAAGGACTCCATCTGGTTTTGATTACATCAATTGAATTGGGGGAATCAAACCTCGTCTACAGTGATCGTATTCTCCCAACATGACAGCCAGTCTAGAAGGAAAGCGATCTCCTCGTGTCGCAACAGTGACCAAGTGTTTATGTCAGTCGAGGCATATCTGAGTATATCCAGCAACAAATGTTACAAACTGCGCGTACATTCTGTCCTTCAGTTCACACCATCATGCCAAAAATTTGCTTCTGGAAAGATCGCCCTCCTCAAAAACTCCATTAATCAATCATTATATTCATATAGTTAAGTATGTGGTCCTTCCGTGACTCACTTCAACAGTGGAATTACACAGTGAAGCACACTTCTGTCTAAGTGTAACTGGCAACACAATAAAATTTCATCATCTGTGCATAATAGGTTGGCCAGCTGCAGAATGTCAATGATGAAGCTTTACGAATCACCCGTAGGAAGCGCAAACAACTAGCCGTACTGTGAACTTTTGGACACCAACCCGATTTTCAGTCACCTGCCCATTAAGGCGGTGATAAATAATGCCAGCCATCAGGTAGTATTCGGCGTCCTACTCAACCTCCTGTAGAATTATCTGTCTCAATTCATGATCGTGAGATGTGTGTCATGGAAAATTGATCTGACGCTCAAGGTGATAAATAATGCCAGCCATCAGGTAGTATTGGGCGTCCGACGCAACCTCCTATAGAATTATCTGTTTCAATTCATGACCGTGAGATGTGTGTTATGGAAAATTGATCTGACGCTCAAGGCAGATGTGTGACAAGAAACAGGAAGAAGTTTTATACGTGGTGAATGGTACAGTACAACTGCACTTTGGCTACCCGTGAATATCACTGTGGTGTTACAGCCACAAGAAAAAATTATATGGGAATTGAAAGTCTGTCAATGAAATTTGCCGCCACACCGGACAACGAATGTGCTGCACAAATATTTGTGTGAGAAAGCAGGGTGGATAGAGTGCGTAAGTGGTTGTGAAAAACATTGTGGTTGTTTAAAAACGCTTAAACCAGTGTGGCTTCGAGAGTGCGGTCACATTTTCCTGTCGACATTCTGACAGACGGAAGCCTGAAATACAGTGAACAATGATAGAAGTTTCTGGAATTATTGAAAAGATGAACTTTGCTTAAAAAGCGTTTTAACCCCAAAGGAATTATTTGCATTCTATAATAAACAGCCTTTTTGCTCAACTTACTGATCAATCAAAAATGGATGGCATATTGGGCTTCAATTTGAGAAGTTTAAAAATAGAGAGGGATTTTCATGTTAAAGTTATGGTCGGTCGTCAGAAGTACTGAGCCGATTGAGGTCATTCTCTACTCTACTCTCACTTTACTTCTGGTTTCCAGTAGGGAAATGTGGCTCGGATTTTGATGACATCCCCGGACGTCAATTTCCATTTAAGTAGGTCATACATTGGAATAGCCGGCAGTGGTTCCCCCAGGAAGGAGAGCAAATTAGTTGAGAAGAGACAACTGCCAAAAATATGATAGCTGAATTGCTGGAATAGAGGAAAATTTGTGAGCGCGAAATTTTTGGGATCAGCACGTCTGCAGACTAATTAAGGAAAGGGTGTTCAACCGAAACTGGCAAAGGGGATTTTTGTGGAGCAGAAATCTGCGTTTTTATATTTCAGATTAGAACCCATCCAAATGGACCACTTTAATCTTCCTGTTAAAGCAAGTGTTGGCTGTAAGCTGCATAAATCCAGATACTTCTATGCTGCTGGTCAAAACCCCATAAAACTATGGACGCTCGCTTAATTATTCATTCGTGACATGAATTCTTGATCTTTGTCTGTTGAAAATTATCTGAAGATGTTTTGTGTCCTTCGGTTTCGTTAAAAAGGTATTCACTGTGAAGAAACATTTGTCGTCTGATTCCTAGGAAACCTATACAACCTCTGACGCACCTTCGTTCTCTGTTCAACCAAATCCACTTAACACTTAACACCGCGCATTGGACAGCCGACCATTGCCCTGCGGTGATTCTATGTCCTGAAAGGAATAGTAGTCGTATAGTTTGCCAGTGTGGCACTTGCTTTTGTGTCAAAATCAGTTGGACGGACTTATTAATTGAGCGTGTGGAATCACAATATGTGCGCGAGCCGTATCTCACCGAACCCTCATAGCGGAAGATTTGTAGGGTTCAGGTTATCACTAAAAATTGCACATGCCACAAGCCATCAGGCTTCATTTTCTATGTCTGGCTCGCTGAGGAACGTCTATCAATTAAGCCACCTAAAGGCTGCTTACTCGGGTTTCCAGGCTGTTATCCCATATCATATGAATTGGTTTGTTGGCATTCGTCTACTAAGGCAAATCTCGGGCTTTTCGCCAGATTCTGCTGATATCATGTATACATTCATCAGTTTGAGATAACTACGGTGGGTGGACTGCTCTAACGCTGTAGAATGCATGAAGTCTGGTCGACGGGTACTTTTACCGACTTCACAAAAACGAATGCTACCGGGTTGCCCAAGAAGTTAGCAATAGTGATGCGGTAATGGAGACGATGAAAGTTCCGGTTTATTATCATTTCAAATGGGTTAGAAGACCCGACGATCAACCTCGTGAAATAATTTATCCCGTCGGTCGTCCGTAAATTTAGGCGGTGATCTGCTATAGGCGATTGCACCAATTTTCCATAACTTCTAACTCGGTGGGACCTGCAGACCAAGCCGAAACTTGCAGAGTAACACTCAGTGATGACTGGATATCCGTTGAAATTTCGTACGCCAAACAATCACATTTAGTGCTCTCAAGAGTTCTTCAACATGGAGTTCGCAGTTAATCTGTAAGGGCATTAGCAGACTGTCGGAATAGGATCAGCTTGGTATTTCGAAGTAAGTATGAGGCAAAGTGCAAATAATCTCAATCATTGTATCCATCTCTATTGACAACAATCGCGGCTTACTGCAAAATTGGTATCCTCATCGACTTGTGCAAAAACCTCCCTTCTCTTTTTAAAATGTCAAAAAAGGATTCGAAAGAGTATCGTATTGGCAAGAACTGTTTCGGTTACTCGGATTTCTTAGTGACAACCTGTTGTAATTCCGATAGTTGTTGATTAGGATTCCTTTGCACTTCCTTATAAGGAACAGGTACCCAAGCTACGTCTCTAAGGTATTTATATATCAACTCAGATATCGCTGAATGATATCCTGCCGCTTGTCTTTGATGAGAACAACACAATTGCCAAATACGTTTATTCAAATCCATTATCAAGCAAGGCGACTTCTTCCTTAAGAAACCTCCAGAAAAATTTACCTTAAAAGGGATAAATGACCCAACTTCCTCTTTTTGACATGACTACTTTGGGTTAGCGGAGTCTTGGGATAATCTGATTTAATTAGCAATTAAATAAAGTGAAGCCCGTAGGCTGAAAGCTCATCGAGAGTCTACTGCTGATTTTGTCCTCATATGGTTGATCAGTTAGAAGTTCACATCAACTTAACGACCGGTTCTTACATAGCAGGCAAAATCTATCTAATTCAAGATAGGATTTGTATTTTGTGATTAAGACACTGTGACAGGACACTGAGTTGATTTTATTGACAGCCCCTCTCCCACAAAACTGACTATTTCCTGCCAGAAAGGCACGGTGCTTTAACGTGTATGAATATGTGCGAGTAAGTCCGAAATGACTGTACAAAGAGAGGAGAGACAAAGTTTCACTAGTCCAAAAAAGGTTGGGTTAGTGGTATTCGGAGACCAGATGTCGAGATTTGCCAGTGATTTGGCCAACTTGAAGAAATAGTCAAATGATCTTGAATGATTCACTATTGCTCTTAGTAGACTGAAAATGCTTTCCTTTGCCTACAGTGATTGCTTTTAAAATTCACATGGAGCCCTGAGATAGTTGTAAAGTAGAGTTCTCCCAGATCTTTTCATTATAAATAAGTGGGAATTGGAACGCTGCGTAGGGCTTACTTTAAACAAAGGAGCATTTTACTTTCCCTTCGGAATGAGACACTGTAATGATTTAAGCCCAGTATTCCGAAAACTGCAGTTATCACAGGTTTGAATGTAGTTCGTTCCCGAATGGAATTTTGCGTCCATTTGTTCACGTATCCCGAGTTCCGGGCACGTCAAGGATAAAGGTTTCCACTGGTCATCTGAATGCTTTCTGAACTTTTGGAAAGGGCTGTCCAACATCACATCTTTGATTTATGGGTTGCATGGAATTCTGGCTAGATTGCAACAACCGCGGATGTGACAAATTAAAATTTTCAACGTGTGTTACATATGTGTCACACTCTGGAGCCTGTGTCGCCTGGGTTTTCAAATTCAGGCATGGGACCGGAGATAAATAAGTGAAGGTGGAAGAGACATGGGGTTGGCCGACAGGCCATTCCCTTTCCCTTTACGAATCCGTACCACTATCCACGCCTCAGTTTTTTAATTTCAAATTTCCTTATGTCGATTACCATGTTCCGTGATTTGATATCTTGGAATGGATTAGAATATATACTCACCACAAATATTTGTCATAATCGCGATGATGTATACTAGTTATCTCTTACTAGCACTCAGTTAGTTATTGTTTGCATGATTCACACCTATTGATCAAACGTAAAAACTTGCATGCACACTATCTCAGGAAAAACAGATGTATGAAAGGCTAAAATAAGGCACAATTTAGAGCTTGCTTTCGTGTCAATGTCTTTAAGTAGAGTAGGTTTCAACGGAGGTCGGGATGCCTATATTTCGTGCGTCTTTTGATATATATGTTCTATTGAGAAACCACGGAAGCGTATCAAGTTATTGTTAGAGAAGGCAACAGAAAAATATCTGCTGATAAATAACCATTCATCAACACCGTGAGATACTAGCCTCAGTCAAGCAAAACCCAGTCGATTTTGTCTTTTGGTTTTGAACGCTTTCTTATGAGATGGCCTAACTCACCTGTACCGGAGATATATTTATATATAATATATAATATATATATAAATATATATAATATATATAAATATATATAATGTTATATAAGAATACTGACCTTCACGAAATGTTTGTGAAACAAAAATCGGATCGTCACGCATTTATAGGCTTGGTTCAAAGTCTTTTACAACAATTGTTGCCTTTCTTTCAGGCATGGTTGTTGGGGCTATGTGCGCCATCACCGGGGTCCTGACCATCTCCCTACCTGTTCCAGTCATAGTTTCGAACTTTTCCATGTTCTACTCACACATGTTGGCACGATCGAAGCTGCCCAAGAAACGCCGGCGAATTCTTCCAGTCGAAGCTATCAGACCGAAGCACAAGTCTGTGATATCTGGCAGACGGGGTGCGGACGATCATGGTTTGAACAATCTGGGAAAGAGCCTCGTTCCTCACATGGCATTAAACCTAACAGCTGTTCAGGCGCTGACCGGTGGCAAGTTTTCCAGTAGGGACAACCGGCCTGTTTGTCTGATTTTTTATCTTCTGACGTTTAAAAATAGTGTGAACACTAGTACATGAACTACCTACGCGTTGTTGGAGGTTTGCCAAGGTTGGGTTATATTCACGGTTAGCACCTGGGGTTCGCCGAGAGATGACCACTCATAGCGTTGTTAAAAACGCCTCAATAGCCTCTGGATGGCGTATTTCCCATGTGAGCACATCATGTGGAAGCAGTCCCAGAGTTCTTGTCAACCCGAATTTTGCATTCATCTGCATGCCAATCAGATTTCCACGAGATACTCGACCTAAACCCAACTAAATGTTCTATTTATGCTATTCTTCAACTAAATGTGCTGTACAAACTCTACCTCGTGTTCTAGCTGCTACGACATTCCAGAGGGACCTCAGGATATTTTCTGGAAGCACACATCTCACAGAATTGTTATAAACCCTTCTACAGTCCAATAATCAGTTTTATTCTTCTTGGGGCTTATCAGTTGGGCGCAGTAAACAGGCTTTCATCACTCTCACTTACTACTTCAAAGCGGTACCATGAACGAGTCCCCCATTGAAAACAAATCGGTGTGAAAATTAATATAGTTCGAGGATTTGGGTTTGTATAATACAAAAGTTTGTGCCTGTATGATGAATCCCAAGAGGGACAAAACTGGTCCTGGGTTATTGTAGAGCTTCCAACGACCTTTTGAATAGTTTCCTCCGGGAAGACATAGCGCTACATCCTGAAGATCACATGAACTTCAGCATGAGGCGACCTTTGTGCAGCACGTTCTTTTGAAGAGTCTGTATGATAAATGAGAAACTCAGCTGTAGTCCAGTTGAGTCTTCTACTAAATTCAAATCGCTATGCAAGCAAATGTATTTTGCGAGAGTGAATATCATTTTAGATAAATATCGGGATCACGCTCTGAAAAGACCTTATAGAATACCTTTTCTTTGACGAGTTGTCGACTGGGCGTTACATAATCTCAGAAGGCGTGGTCCAATACCGATCCGTTCATTACGGCCAATAAATGATTGAGCTACTTGTTTAAAGCTTTTCGGATCGTTTTCTGCAGCGAACATGCACACCAATGTAATTATAGTGGGGAAAAATCCATGTTTTATTTGTCAGTCCTTCTTAAAGATCTGTTGTTCCAAAAGCTGAGTGCAATTGAATGGTCATGTGACAGCCAGATACACCAAAGCTGAAAGTGGAGTCGGAGTTAAGGAGTTCACGTTTCTAATCTTTAGCAACGGTGATCTCCGTGTAAGCCCCTAAGCGCCGCACTTCATTCGTTTCATTGCTATTGAATACAACTAATAATGCTGGAATGCAGCTAAGAATGTGTTGATGACTAATTTTCAGTACGTCATCCTCCCAAATGCCGCACTGTTGCAGTGGGAGATCGTCAGGCTATCGATGTTTTGAGGACATACATCTTTTTACATGCGAAGCGCGGACAATAGTACTCATGTTTGCCATTCAACAAAACCAGCTATTAAAAATATTCATTATGAATGAGTTTACAGGTACGCCGGATTATTCATCAGAACAAAAGTAATTCTGTGGTAGGACGAGAAATCATCCTAAACCTAGCCCACTACCCAAAATTATCTCCAAACTCGCACTGTCGTATTCGACCTCGGGCGGTTGTCTCTGAAGGTCCACCGAAAGTGACCGTTACATGCGACAGAGCTGAAAAAGTTTGAAGATTCTCCCACAGTCATGTAAAGCTAGGAATCAGAACACCACGTACTTTAACGTAATTGATATAGGATGGAAAAATACAGAGTGCCAGCTGATTCGTTTACATGCCAATCACTAGATGGTTCATCCCTCTGAAATAGTTTACCTATTTGGAATAACTTAGTTCACCTTTTTATGCTCAGATTCAAGTAAAGTGGGATAATGTAGTGATGCGTTTATTTCACTTTATCAATCTCTTTAGCTGGAGCTGTGAATAACTTAAGCTATCAACAGTCTGTAACACTCCGTTCTCGCCGGGCCGCGGTGATCAGCCTTCAGCCAGAAGACTCTCCATCAGAACAAGAGATTTCACATACAGAATCTCAGGTGGTGACATCCTCACAACAAAGTAGCATCATTACGAGAGAACCAAGTAGCCAGAACGTATTGCCAGGTAAGCAATGAATGGTGAATACTTCATCCTCTATTAATGCTTGTTCTGCAGACAAAGTATCTCCGTTCAGAATCACAGCCAATTTGCAAGTGACGTTTGCCTAATGGCAAGCCGTGTTTGCTATTAAGCATGTTGAGTGATTGTGACAATCCATTCTTTCAATGAAAACGGTAAACGTTGGTAGAGAGATAACAAAGGAAATTAGTGCGATGAATGCTAGAACTGACAAATCTCGCCACTGGGCTAAGCGGCTCCCTTTGTTATTTAAGATATGCTCTTCACTCCAGAGTTTCATATGCGAAATAAAATCCAAGACACATCGCACAGGTGTTTTATTTTTGCTGGGAACTATCAGCACCGCGCACCCCGACCATCCTCAAGACGATTCGAAATCGCGGGCCCTGGCTGGTAGCTGAAGGCCAAATCGATCAGCTGAGCAGCAGTGTAACCACTACTTAGAAAGAATACAGGGCCACTCATCTTTCAGTCACCAGATTCACATCAAGTGGTCACGTGCTTCTGCATTTTCAAATAGAGTTCACTCACCGTGTGAACTGCACGTCATTCGATGAGTCAGTTGGCACGTGACCTCGTGGTGTGAATTTCGCGACTGAATATGAGTGAGACTTTGTTCTGTCCGAGTAAAAATGATAATACTGACGTTCATTCATTTTTGACCCCGTAACCTTAATCTTCAGCTACCTGCGAGAGGCTAAAATCCCAAATCTTCCGGATGGGCCATAGAATGCGCAATTTTCATGACCCTTATTTTGTAGTGTCTTCGGATTTTTAGCACAGCTTGACCTCACTCACATGATGAACGCTCAATTGAACAGCTCCAAATCTTTTCATAATGCTAACAAACGTGAACTATAAAAAATTTAGCTCACACCATAGTATAACTTCCTGGCCGTAGGTTTTGTCTCCCAGCTTTACAGTCGGCACTTTTTGGTCAAATTCGACACGTAGTGGTGAGTATCCCGGCAATTTAAGATGAGACAGGGAGTTTCTTTAGGAAAGCTTGGGGGCGAACACTATACGTGAATACTTTCAAATAATTACTCTTAAATTTGGTCAATCCAGAGGAAACTCCCAATATGACAGTGATCATCGCACCAACTTACGGACCGGAAATTCAGAAATTTTCTAACCCAAACTCAGCATCTCAAATGCTCCTATCTAGGTTTGAGCAATTTGAAAGCTCTCGCGCCTCCTCCTGTTGGCATGGGAACTAGGCACCGAAAGGGCGCTAAAGCTGAACGGTTTTTATTGTTGTTAGTGTGAAGAAATTTGGGATTTTTGTGGAGATTTCGTCCAATAAGTGAAGCCAATCTATCTTGAAAAGCCGAGAAGTAGGAAGAAAACTCAACAGAAATTCCAACTCTATTCACACCACCAATACTCTATAAGTAGCTCAGTGGAAGAATAAACTTCACCCGATGAGGGAAACTTCCATCTGAGAGGTCGTTACTCGAGGGGCCAGTCAACACGTGTAACCGCGTGATGTGGATTCGTGATTGAAGGATCAGCGGCGCTTATTCCTGTCTAAGTGCAAGATAATCACACTGTTGATCAGCCGTCCGTGGCCAAACGGTTAAGCGTTCAAACTACTAGCCAGGAGGTCGCAGCTTCGGGACTCTTAGGAGTTTCATGAAATGCGTACTGATGACGATTTCCAATAACAAGGAAACAGCTGTACAGTGCTTCTCGTTTTTTCATAATAGGTTGGCTTCACTTACAGGACGAAATCTCCACAGGTTTATTTTACCTTGTATTTCAGAGAAAGAAGACTACACACGAGATATCGGATCCACGAGAGTTCATTAGACATCTTTTAGTCTAGCAGGCAACAGCTCAGCATATTCTGAGCATAGTATGTTAAAAAATCATGATACTAACTAAATGAAGTTCGTGTATGATGACCGATTTTGGGCCAGAGAAAAATGGGCCCCGCTGATCCGAACAGTTTCTCCGTCAGTGCTCCAACAAGCATATGAAATTATGTCATTAAATGGAAAGTTGCGGCATGACTTTAACGTAGGGATTGTAAATGAATTCCCTTTTGTATTTAAATTACTGACCCCTCAAGGTAAACCGTGGCAAACCATTTTGGTAAAATTGTCCTAAATAAAATGCTTTTCTAAATGTGAAATTGAAGACTGCCTTCAGAAACTGAAAGATGAAACGCCACATCCCGTAGTCAGTGAGGAGATTCCCTTTACTTGCGACAACCATTTCCACAGTCTTCCACACATTCCTGCAGCCGATTTCATCACTATTCTTTCAGTTGGCCTAGGAGAGTTGTGGCTAATGCTCCTTCCGGTCCCCCAGCTACCTCACTCGATAGTTGTGATGTTTACTTATGGGTTTCTGCCCACGAAGAGGACTAGCCTAATGACCGCTCATGATAACCTTTCCCAGACGGCCTCCACAAGGTTGTGCAGCTAAACCAGTTTTGTTTTGACTATATCTGTTTAGCTAATAAGAGGCACAGCTTTCAGAAGGCCTAGTGTGAGATAGAATGTTCGTTGTTTATGATAATGTCCTCCTGATTGTGATGAAAATGCAAGGTAATTTCAACTCCGTTTTCTAGATACCCAGAAAACTGATCCTTGTCAATCGCCACTCAACCCCAGACCGATTTCCATGTGCACAGAACTACCCTGCCCAACGTTGCTTGAGACCACTACTGGAGAAGATTGCAATGGGCTTACCGGCCTACTGTCCGAAAACGAGGTCACCCTTACAGAGCGACCCAGGCGATTAAAAAACATTGTGTGAAACTTGTGGATTCGTTACTTTGCGTTTTGTTCCCCTTCTGCTCACACCAAAGCCGATATGTTTTGGGAAGATGTAATAAGATCAGAAACCATAAATCAGCGTACGGTTTTGAACCAGTGACTTCAGTGCATTCAAAACATACTAAGCTTCAAACGGAGTAGTATTCTCTTGAACGCTTTTCGAACTTTCGTTGCTTGTCGGGACACAACTTAGAGAAATAGTGGCCGTCCACTAGCGTAGAGTTTATCTAGGAGATTCTATGTTTGAGTGATCAAAACCGGTGAATAGCGAAACTAGTTGCCGATACATGATGGTCATAATTTCGTTTAATTTATCACCCAGCAGAAATGGTCACCTGTGATATATTAGTGCACTGTTGATGATGGCCATAATACAATTTAAAAGGTATATGTACTAATAAAACTTTTTACTACGGTTGATAGTGGTGAGTTGCAACACGTATTAAAATAAACTTAAAGTGCACTGTGATCAAGTCAAAAGAGGAACTAATCATCTGTGAGAGTTCCTTCGTGAGAGTCCGGACGGCGGGAACGTGTTTTCCCCGCACTATGGCTGCTACACGTGATCCATAATTGTCCGTAGACTTGTGGAGGGTGGTTGGCTTCCTGCTCCCTGCCCGCGCGCGGGTGTGTGTTCGGTTTCCTTATATGTAGGCCCATTTGCGCGTACGAGGGTGTGTCAGTACATGAGTTGTTGCTCCGCTCACTAGACGGTACAAGCAATCGATGTTCGATGAGTCACCTTAATGTGACGTGGTTTGTGAGTATGAAAAAGGACAAGTCTCGTGATGCAGTGGGCGACTGTGGTCTGAACAATCAAGTATGTGGGTGACGGGGTAGCGACAACTATTTTCACTAAAAAAGTAGTTACAGATGCACCTGATGATAAATTAGTCTACCTAGATCCGAATTCTCGACATTTTGTTGTGGCTTATCTTTGTGTGAAGCAAAGTATTGAAAGAGTCTTTTGAATGTGCGAATTCTTTTTGAGGGAGTTGATTTTGTTAACATTTCCAGCATGTGGCGAACAACATGCCTCCTGGCTGTTCTAGTAAGTGTAGAAACAAAGGTCAGTTCTTCTCACAGCACAATATATCGCAGGTTTGTCGCCCTTCAATATGTATCCCAGCGGACTGTGAGCGACATCGTCCAACTTCTTATAAACATCATCAGTCATACCAAGGATAGATAACTGAGGTTAATTACACCACATAAATTCAAGCAATTTATGAAAATCTTTCTAAATGGCAGTCAGCTTGATATGCAGAAAAGAGGCGATATCCTCAGCCAGCAAAAACTATCGTTTCTTGTAGCCGAGGCTAGTATTCTTCGATACGTAGGCAGGTCTATTTGTCAGTTGCGAGTGATGGGCTACAAGAGCCCCTATTCTTA